CCCCCCCCCCGCTCCTCTCTCACCCCATGTGCGTCTAGGAAAGAATTTGAATTTGTAAAAGTTAAAAGACAAGTATGAATAATCATCATAATTTCACCATGACTCAGGGAAATTGATGATTTCAACGAGTACCTATTCCTAATGTCATCTCTCTAATAACATCGCCTTTGAAGGATCGATGATAAGGATTTTCCTTTGCGCGCTAAAAACGAAGGTTGTTCACAGTTCGCAATGATCAGATCGCCTGACGTTGTAAGTCAACTCGACTTTGCCTTAAAAATAATTATGCGTAACTTCGAGGCTATTATATAGTGCACGTTCACAAAAACCCAGAAAATAGAAAAGAGATTAACACTAACATTTTGTTGTACCTCTTGGGGGATTTATGTGCTCACCATAACCAACGATGTGAGCCGAGTCTGTGGACTGAATTGAGATACAAACAAAAGTTTGAGGAAATGAATTCAAGCAGGATAATCTTAGTGGTATCATCAAGACTTAAAATTTAAAATTAAGAAAAATCACCCGCAGAGAGTTAGTGTTTAAGTATTTAGTACAAAACCAATGGGCGAAAAAAGAGGCATATCATCATCAATATATTGTAAGAAACACTCACCCGAAACATTGAGCCTGGTTGTCCTGTTTTAAACGTAAAGGCAAAGAAATTGTCAATAAAAACCATTTGATTACACTTATGACTGGTGTGCAAACACTCAGTGCAGTAATATAAGAAAAGATAAACAGGAAAAGTTAAAAAACTTGGCCTTTATGTGGCTCGTTTTCTCAAATTTTGCTCCGGTTTTTTCGTTTTAGTCCACAAAATGTGCCATGTGTGTCATTCCTATTCAGATTGAATTACGCACTTGACGAGACAGCCGCTTTTTTATATGAAATGGTAAGTGGAACTGATGAATGGTGCATTTCCAAGAAAAAATTTTAATCAGAGCTATCATATATTTTGTGTAGGTGCCCAGTAGAGACTTCTGCACTACCTGGAGGCCCAGGCTCTCCTCGCTCACCTGAAAGAGAAGCAATAGAGACCTAGGTAAGAGGTTATTCGTCCATTGTTTTTGAATGTCTTAAGAAGAGAAAATATCTTATCTTGAGGGGATCGATCAAGACTAGTATTTTAAAGTAAGGAACGGTGGTATGAGACCATCTGAAGCTTTAGACAAGATTCCTAGCGGCAGTCTTGGTGAGCTGCCATTACTAATTAAAGTAAACACAACGCACGTACCCATTTTCCCTTTCTGTCCATCCCTTCCCGGCGGTCCAGTGTTGCCGAGTGCTCCCGTGTCACCTTTCGGTCCTGAGGAAAAAAAAAAAACGAAACGAATAAGAAAAGTGCTTTCGGTTCGGTAACCGCGCCTGTATGATATGTATACACGTTCTACTCAAGTTGTTGATTAAAGGGATCCGCTAACGATAATGATAATGATGCTGGTGATGATGACGATCATGGTGGTGTTGATCTTTCATGACCATGACAACATTTCGTAAGATTGTAGGTTACTCAACAAATTATATTTTTCCCGCCACAATCGTAACTGGATGCAGTATTTAAAAGAGATACAAGTACTTTTTCTTTCTAGTTTTGAAAAACAAGTTTTTTTACCTGCCCTTCCCTTTCGTCCGGTCGATCCTGCACAGAAAAAAAGCAGATTGTTATTTACACACATTAGAGCCTCTGTTGAATTGAATATAACAAGTTTCTACACAGGATCTTGACCTAGAGGCTACTCCTAATTACATCCTAGTCATGCGCTTAAACAGCAAGCGAATCACAAAGGCGCACACATAGGAAAAGATACCGCGAGGATAAATGTCCTCTTTGCGTATGTCCGCGCGTGTCTATTTGTAAACATTAAAAAGACTCGCGCTCAAATATACGAATAATTTAAGCACTTGCTTTGCTGGCTCTGACAACAGTCTTAAGTTTCATATACCCCATTCACTCTAGTAAGACATGTTTAGTTAAATCCGGATTAATTGAATGAAAATAAGATACAGAGAGCTGAAAAACTGAATTTTCCATCGGCTTCAAGTAGTCACTAACTTGTACTTTAATGTGCTAAATTTGAAGTCGACAAACATCGGTTTAAGCTGCTTCTATGAAGAAAACAAATTTAAATCGTGTTTAACAAAACTGCTTTAAGACACGTTTAAGCTTTTGTGTGAATGGAAAAATAGATATGAAATTCGTACGATTAAGGATGACTTTTCAAAATTATAACATCAACTTCCCCCCTTCATTTAACATCACCTTTCTGTCCTTTTGGTCCCCGCTCTCCTTTACGACCTAAAATAGAAAAACTTTTTTTTTACAGAAAGACTTGTGTAACGTGAATATACGTGTCTGGTCACTCCGTATTTTTTGTTTCACGTGACAAGTTATCCCTTACAGTACGTGACGTTTAAGTCATTACGTGAAGTACCAAAACATGCATAAACTGACATTAAAATTCGTTTAAGACTCATTTTATAGGACCTCACTTTCTTTGGTACATGAAGCTTAAACCATAGTCTTTATCAAAAAGAGCTGCTTTCAAAACAGAATTTTAATTTTGCAAGGCAAATTGATATTGCTTCTAGACATTGTTTAGAATTGAGACTCCAAGGTCAAGAACGTGCCAGACCACATCTGAACTGTATTGTCTTACAGGAACAATATCCTTGGTAAGCTAATAAAGCTTTGTTTCGATATATATAGTTTCAAAATAAACCACTATCCAAAGTGACCCAATACCTGACCTCAAGTTATGTAACTGTATATCATAACAACAAAATTTGAATCATCCAGAGAAAGTTATAAAAAGCAAATTAGGTCGCAAGTAAAACCTTTTTTTTTCCTTTCTTTTAGAATTAATTGCAAAACGAACAGCTTTCTTATTTTAGGGCTGTCGCAGGATTGAATTTCACACCTCGTTCAAAAAGCGATTTTTGATGTAAGAGAGGACTTCCGAGAAATAAGCTTTTCATGGACTTCAGCCAACAGCTCGAGTAAAGGCAAAATAATCATTATGCGAACAATTGAAGAAGTGCCTCATTTTACAAATCTCTTCTTGTAGGCTGTGTATTTAGACGGAAAAAGTGAAACGCTAGAGTAAGGAATAAACTGCTAGGAATGCAATTGAACTGGAGCCGAAGGTCGTTGGGGGGGGGGG